GCTTTGAGGGCTCCGAAAAGCACTATATAAATGCAATCCATTATTATTATTATTATCTTAGTAGATCTAAGATGAATCCTGCAATTAATAGATTAAAAACAGATAAATACAGAGCTACATAATTACATGTAATTAAGTTATTTTAAGGTATTAGTAAGAGATCCAAAAATGTTGAATGATCAACATTAACATGAGTATAGATTTTTCCAATTTTGAGATGAAGAGGAGCACATCATCAGCATGCAAAAAAATATCTTGTTTGCACAGAATCTGTTTGAAGTGCTGTTGTACTATTATGGTTTCTTATGACCAAAATTGACAAAATTGATAAAGCCCTCTCCAAGTACAAACTCTTCTAAGACCTCAAATGAATAAGGCAACTTTACCAGATCAAAAGCCTTCTCTGCATCCAAGGACATAATAAGCTCCTGTATCTTATTCACTATAGAAAACTGGATAATTATAATTTTCTCATGTTTGTAAGAGGTGCTCTGTTTTTAACTAAACCAGTCTGGTCTGATTTAACTAAGAGAGGGAGATAGTTCTCGAATCTTTTAACCAGGATTTTGGGGAAAGTTTTGCCGTCAACATTGCTTAAGCTAGTTGGGTGATAAGAGCCTCACTCGTCAGGGGGTTTATCTTTTTTGGATCTCAGGCTATAAAATTAACTTTGATAAAATCAAGAGCAATGCCAGTTGGTTTTATAGTAAAACTTCACATCCATCTGTTTCCCCTTTCTTCTGGACTGACTCTGAATTGACACCTTCTTGAGGCACAATTTGACCAGAGTGCAAAAAGAAAAGAAAAAAAGGAAGGACCTTACAAGATGGATGAATCTGACAGCTTCATGGATGGGTAGAATAACTCTTATAAAGATGAATATCCTGCCAAGATTACTTTATTCTGTTCAGTTGTTACCACTTTATATTTCTAAGATAGCAAAAGAGACTGAAAAAGACTTTTCTAAATTTATTTGGCAAGGGAGAAGACTGTGCAGCTCTCTGCAGAGGTTTATCCTTCCCTAACATTAGACATTATAATTGGCCATGTCATGGCAGGCTCATCCATGAGTGGCTTTACTGTTATCTTAAACTCCTTTTGAGAAATGGGGATGTAATGCCTTTGATTTAGTAGGAGAGCTTACATGTAGAAAATAAACCCAGCTTCAAAACGAAAGACAATCCAATTCTTCCAAACACAATGATAAGATGGCGAGATATAAACAGACATAAATTGGTAGGAAGGATTTAGTTACCCACATTACACCTCCTCTCAGCAAGAGAGATTTTCTCCCTGCTTGTATTTGGATCCTGGTGCAGAAAAGGTGTCAAACTAACAGCAGACCTGTTTGATGAAAATAACAAACTTATGACCTTTGCCCAGTTTCAAAATACCTTTGGCCTTCCTCAGAAAGATTTTTATGCATATCTTCAAATTTGTCACTATGTGACGTCGCAGGATTCCTGCTCACTTCCAGGCTCCATAGAAAATTATTGTGAAGTTTGCTTTAAATAAAGGTTTTATTTTGGGTTTTTACAACATCCTGCAGAAATAATATAATCACAATGCTGGGGATGTTCTCAGGATGATTTACAGAAAGCCTATGGTGAGGAGATTTGGGAGGTTTAGTGTAAATGATCCCATTCCTTATTTCTAAGTAATAAATAAAGGAATTCAATATAAGATAATACATGGAAAATATGGTGTCCTGTGGTGAATCAAATACATTCCAACAGGTCACCCCCTAGGAATGTGTATTCACTGTTTTTGGGAATGCCCTTATATTTCCAAGTTTTGGAAATATGTAGTTAAAAGATAAGTGGAGTTGTAAAAAGTAAAGTTTGTAAAGATCCTGGGCAATTTTTATTGGGGCTGCCCAGTGATCTATGTGCTGACTAGGGATGGGTATCGTTTAGGTTTTATCCGATACCGGTGCCAAACCGGTACTTTTGAAACGGTGCCGGTGCTTAAACGGTGCTCAAACCGGTGCTTAAAGAATGGAGAACACCAACTTTGTCCAAAAACCTCTCATGTTCAGCTGTTTTTTTTGTAAAAAGATAACAATGTTAGCCTTTTCTGCAGCTATGGGGCATATATGGTATCACTCTTGGCTGGAAGCAGTGCTTAATCAATGGAAAAAACACAAACTTCATGTTTAGCTGTTTTCCACTTTTTCTTTGGTCATTTTAGCCTTTTTGGCCAGGGTGAAGGGAGTATCTGCCATCAAACAAGAGGACAGCCGCATGTAGCTATGATGATGTTTGCTAGTTCACCTTACATGCATTAATGTAATAATGTGGTTAGCCTACTCAACGTAAATTACACACGAACAACATTAAGCTACTCACGCAGAGAAGAACGGCTGCTGCCACCATCATCCGTCACCATTTCTGATACACTGGCAGGGCTAGGGGCCAGGACTCTCCTCTTCGGGTTTTTGGGGGATGTTGCTCCGGGTCCGATAACAGGCACCACACCCGCAGTAGATGCGCTCGGTGTGAGGTCTCGCAGCAAGCTATCAAATACGGCGCATTTCTTGGCTTTTAACAAAAACGCTATGCGTCGCCAGGTGTTTCATCGGATTTGAGGTGTTGCCTCCTTTGCACAGTATCACAGTATCACCTTAAAGCACTTGTTGAAGGCTGCTGAGTTTGCATATTTTGCTGTGAAGTACAGCCAGACTTTTGACCGCTTCGCCTTGGGCATTTTTAATCTGTAGCTCTGCTCTAAAAGAACGTACGTCCCTGGCCCCGCCTACTATCCTCGGAAACGTAAAATGATTGGCTAGAATCTAAAGTGTATCACAGCTCAGGAAAAGTAAGCACCGAAATAAAGCACCGAAATGTGCGCTGCTTTTTGGTCTGGTTACTACGGTTTATGTCAGAACCGGTGCCATGACGGTACCCATCCCTAGTGTTGACATCCTTAAAGGAGAGCTTACATTCAACTGAAGATATTAATATGTCATAATAATTAATTATGACATATAAGGACAGATAAGTGGATCCCTTTTTTCTTTTTGGGTGCAAAAAAAGGATTTTCTCTCTTTTTTTTACTATATTGTTATTGTTCTTTTTGAACACCAATTATGTCGTCGGTATTTGCTGTAAATATTCTCTATTTTGAAAATAAAGTGTTAAAATAATAATAGTGATTAGTATGCGGTGTACGGGAAAAGAAAGCAGATTTTCACATCCTGTTCGTTTATCCTTGCGATAAGGCGAACACGCGCGCTTCGGTGGTTAATTAAGGCCAAGGCTCTGTTTTTGTGTGTGTCAGTCACATGTCTGCCAGGTCACAGGGTTCAGCACACCCAGGTCCAGTTTTAATATGCTGTTTCAATATCTCTGCACACATTTCTTTTCATTGTTCATTCATATGCAGGAAGTCAGCAGCCTTTGGAGCAGAGCTGGACCACAGCAGCAACAGCAGAAAGTGCTAATGACAAGGTTGGTACACACACACACACACACACACGCACGCACGCACGCACGCACACACACACGAGGAACACGACAGGCCACGTTCTGCATCTCCAATTGGCTCAACCTCAACATCCAGGCTTTCATTGTCTCCTGAGATTTTGATTCTGTACAGTTACAGCATGTTTATACACACAGTCTATGTTTTGTATATGTAACTACAAAACAATATATCATGCAGTTATTTAAGCATGACATATCAGAGGTTTTATTTCTAAAACTGCAGGATTCATACTGATGTGCATGCACCAAAAGAATATTCTGATTTATTAAACTGGGATTGTTTCTGTTCCTCTGAAGCTCCACGTTAGGTTCAGGTTTGTAAAATTTCATCAAAACACCTCTGTTATAAAATTGGAAGATGAGGACTCGGTGAAGAGCTGCAGCACACAAACAAACACCCACAGCTTTGAGACCATCCATGTCAGTTATGACTTCCTTGATTCCAGATAGCACACGGCCTCTTCAGGCCACAGCTTTGGGCTGTCTGTGGTTTAACCTGCAGCCAGTTTGGCATAGCGCCATCATGGCCTGTGGGTTTTGTCACTGTGAGGTTCAGGTTATTTCTCCTGGTTTAGCTTCTGTTTAAGGTTTTCTGTTTTGCTTGGATTTTGCGTTCTTTGAGTTATTAATCTTCTCCCGCATCTTCTTCGTCGTCATGATTAGTCTCTCGTGTTTTGTATTTAGTTTTACTTCTTTTGTATGTGATTAGTTTTAGCTGTGCCCCATTTCCCACCTGTTTCCTCTTCCATTGATTGCATGTCTGTGTGTTTGTATATAGCCTCAGTTTCCTGTTGTTTTTGTGTGTGTTAATGCCCTGTGTGTGCTCTTTCCAAGAGTTTGGAGTGTTATTTTTGTTGACTTAATTGAAGGTTAGTTTTCATTTACTTTGTTTTGTCTGTGAGTCCTGCATTTGGATTCTGCTTACTGCTAGAAACTGTGGCAAGAGCAACGACTGGAAAAGGAGGGAAATTGTGGCCTGTAAAGGTAAAGTATACTAGCACAGAGGTGACAAACATGCAGCCCGGGGGTCAAAAGGTCGCCTGGATGTCTTTGCAAGAATGGAAAATGCAGTTTATTCTCATTTGTTTGTTTTTTTAATAAGCTGCACTGCTGCTCCTGGTGATGTCATGTCAGCAGTCTTTTGCATACATAGAAATATCTGGAAAGTCAATTCTAGATCTGAAATGGTTAGAACTCAAAATTCAAAGTCAACATGTTTTTGCTTTTGCAGATTCGCTGTGATTTGCAAATGTAATAATACATGCTGCTGAAATTAACTACTCGGGCTGTTTTTGTAAAATGATGAAGAAATGATGTAAGCATTAAAAGACACTTTGGTTATCATGCAGCAGTTTTACAGGTCCGGCCCACTTGAGATCAGATTGGACTGAATGTGACCCATAAACTAAAGGGATATCTGGCAATCTAAAAGGGTTAACCAAGCTTGTTTGTACCGCACATATTGGTGTTTCATGCATGGACCAATAGAGATACACTAAGTGTTTATTGGTGAGCTTTAAAGGTGGATTTGGTTAGTCATACCCTCTGTTTGCAGAAATGTTCCTATAATTTATTTTGATAGCTTTTGGGTTTGACTTTCAAAATAAATGCAAGAAATAATCCCAGTCAGCGAAGGATAAAAGACATCTGGCTCTTTAAACTTTCCTTAATAGCATTTAATTTGAGGAATACAAAATAAACCCCGTAGTCGCAGCGAAGTAATTGTATGAGTGTGTCTTTGTGAGCCAGTATTCCCACACGTACAGCACAATGCATGTGCACGTTTGCGTGTATGTATTTGACTGTGTGTGTAGTGCAGCGGATTAGCCGGGGGGATTAGTGACAGTGATGATTGAACTGTTCTACCAGGAACAACCATGCGAGCACACAAACACAGCACATGCACTATACACGCACACTGTAATTGCTGTTTATAAATTCACAAAGAGAAAAAAAGGGTAATTAGTCTTTTGTCACCAGCCTGAGTCAGTCCTTCAGCTAACCATGTTTTGCTTTGCCAGCGTGCCTTATCCTGTTATCTTGAGGTCATGCAGTAAAAAGAGCAACTGACCTCATGTTTGGTGCTTTTAATTTGTCACTAACAGCTATTTTGAACCATCCAAACCATTGTGTTTCAGCACAAACTGCACATTTGCTTTGTATATCTGGGTTAGGCCTCGGCTAGCCAGTCATAGACTGTTTTTGTGCGTATTGGTGGTGGTCAGTCTGCTGGATGGTCATCCTCTGTGTGTGTGTGTGGGTCAGTCAGTGAAGGTAGGATTAGCTTGGTCCCATGACATAACCAGGCTAAGAGGATTGCTAGTGAGCCAAACAGCTCCTCCTCCCTCGTCTCGTCTTCCTTTCACCTCACACACTCCTTCACACTCTTAAGGTCTCCGTGTTTCTTCCTCTTCATCCTTGAACATTTGCTTTAAAGCAAAAAGATCTGAGGCACAACAAGACAGAGGGGGTGAGTTTTGGTCCATTTCTTTTTATATGGGTGTGTGTGTGTGTGTGTGTGTGTGTGTGTGTGTGTGTGTGTGTGTGTG